GCCTATTTAGGTCTATTGTGTGTGTGGGGGGGGGCTAGGGAACCCAGAGGGAAATGTGATGCCCCTGAAATCCCATGAGAAATGCACATACAGTATCTAAATATTAGTAGATATGTGTACCTGTTGGCTGTTTAGGAAAGAACACAATGCCAGACAGAAGAGATGTCCCTTTGAGTGGTTGGTGAGAGTGGTCCAGGAGACTCCCAAAATAACACAGACTATTGCCAAAGCTCCTCGTTATCTCCCAGAACTAGTAGATAAGACCCTATTGCTGAGGACAAGAGGTACTTCAGATACAGGACTTGGAGCAATGGAGCAGGAACTGACCTGGAAACCTTCTAACTGAAGTTTGGCTCTCATAAAGCTAGATGATAATATGCAAACTGCTAAGGGAGAAAAATAATCAATGGTCCAACCCAGCCCTAAAGCCTAATAACCATAATGACTTGCATGGAAAACTACTTCTACTGGTGCATCCAAGGACACTGTTATATGGGGGCAATCAACAGTTATCTAATTGAACTTGAAGCCCTCAGTGGGAGTGAACTCATGGGTGACATTGTAAACTCAGTCAAGAACACATGGCAGGAGAGGACATGGATCCTAGAGAAAACCCTGTCTGTTTCATATCTTTAGACAAATGAAATTTCTTAATATATGCTAAATATCTATCCTTATATTTACAGACAAGCATATCATATACCACTTATCAAAGAAGCTTCTTTTTGCAGCAGATGGAGGCTTTTGCAGAATTCCACAAGTGGTCAGACACAGAGTGTATACGTCTGAGAGATGCTGAATGCTAGGTGACACATACACAATTGAACCTCTACAACTAAGGCTCATGCAACATAGAGGAACAATGACTAGAGAGAAAACTAATGCATCCCTCAACTCTCACTAGCAAAGCTTCCTTGTACAGCTGAGTGTGATGCACATGGTAGGCCACAACTACCCAAGTTTTAAAAAAACAAGAGACTACAGAGTGTGTGTCCCTGGATAGGACTCCTATATTGAACCTCACCGACCCACGGCTCAGGGGCCATTATGAAAGAGGGAGTGGAAAGAGTTTAGAGCCATGTCTGATTCATGAACACAGAGAAGCAGGGATGCATTAGGCCACTGTAAGCTTGCACATGTGAACTTGTGGCTGTGGTGGCATAGAGCACGGGACCCTTGCCAACTCAACTGAACAAGATACCAGAGGGGAGGAGAGAGATGGGTGGTTGGCTCACCCTAGACAGAGCTGTGGAGGCTGGCTAGTTTTTGGTGTGGGAGAGTGTATCTTGCAAACGATCTCTGGATGGACTAACTTGACTCAAATGAATGAATTTGCACTGAAGGGCACATGGGTGCAAATGCTTGTCTGGATAGGACTTACCATGTGTGGAGGAGTGCGTGGAGTCCAGTGGGGAAATGGAGGCGATATAGATGGGAGAGAAGGTCTGGGATTGACTGTGAATTGTTGTATGAGAATACAGAAGCTCAACAAAAAAATTTAAAAACATATATTACACAAAATAAATAAATAAAAATTAATAAACAAATAAACAAAATAAATAAAAATTTAAAACACCATATTTGAAGTAGTCAAAAATATTATCAGTAGGGTAAATAAATGAACTGTAGTATTAATATAATGTGGAATAGTAAGCATTAAATAATTATAGAAATCAAATTTCACATCATTACTTAATACTTGTATGTATGTCAGAATTGATGAAGCATTAATGAAATACATCCAATAAGAAACACAGATAAGAAACTAACCACTATGAATTCTGAGTCTATTCACAGATCTAAACTTTCTGTTTCTATCTTAAGAAACAGTTTGCTTCTATGCATTAAATTTGGGAATATATTTTTCCTGTATTCCTTTGGTTTCCTAGGGATGCAATTAGAAACCTTTCATGGAGGGATAGACTCTAATGGAAGTATGCATTAGGACAAGGTCATGCAAGGAAGCATTACATCACAATAAAAATGAAATAGAGAAGTGAATGAGTTTTGCAGAAATGAAGCAAAATAGAGAAGGACAGACACAGAAGAAGAAGCACTCAACACTTACCAATTGTACTGATACTTCTTAGAGTTTTATAAATGAAAACAAAACAATAGCACTATGGTATGTGATAGAATGTCCCAGGCAGAGGGAGGAATTTTATTTGGAAATAGATATGCAAATAGCTCCTGGGAGTGCTGACATTTCTCTGCATTTTGAGATGGTAGACCATTGCTCAAGGGCCTAATTTAAAACACATTGTTGCTCTCTCATCCCCATGGGGTACACTCCATGACCTGTAGAGGATGCTAAAATGTGTGGGCACCACCTAGGCCAATGTGTCCTCATATCTTTTACATGTGCATGCATAAAATGAAGCCTAATTCATGAACTATAAGAGGACATTAGGTACAACCTAACAGCAGACATTCAGCATTTTTTACTTTTCTCATTAAATCCAGAACTGTCATTTATTCCTCTAAAGAAACCATCTTATGGCTTACCTTTCTGACATCTGTGAGCTACAAGTATCATTGCTTTTGTACTTTGCAACCACTACTAAATAAAATAGAAATTAGGGGCTGGAGAGTTGGCTTAGTCTTTAAGAGCACTGGCTGCTTTTGCAGAAGACCCAGGTTCAATTCTCAACATCCACATCGTGGCTAACAACCATCGGAATCGCCAATTTCAGGGGATCTGACACCCTCTTCTGAACTCTGAACACTTAGATACATGCAGACAATACACTCATAACAAAAGAAGTAAAACTAAATAAAATACAAATAAAATATAAATTAACTGAAAATGATCATGAAAATGTCACCAAGGTTAATTTGATGACTCAAACCTCTATTAAACTACTAAGGGAGGGTGTAGTGTATTCAATGTTGAGACAAGGGACAGATGGATCATTCTCATTATCCCCGCTTACAGTGAGGAAAATACTCAGAGGAAGTTTTCCTGAGCTGACACATTCTTACTAGCTGTCATGGTAGAACCAGTTTAAGAAATGCACTGAACACTAAGATGTTCCAATGACAAAAAACTGGTTCATAGACGTTGACTTCTGCTTAATGATTTTAGTATATTTGCAAGCTGTAGCAAGTAAAACATGAAACCTCCCCTGCCTAATTATCTAACCCGTGAGTAGCAGTGGCTACGTGGGCTCTAAGTAGAATGTGTGCTGAGCATGGGGGCGGCGTAAGAATGACGGTGTTCCTAATTCCAGCTTGTGAATCTGACCTGTTACTCTTACCCTTCTTATGCCTTCATCCATTGTCTCTTTCGGCACCTTCCAGTTCTTGCCGTTTAACTGGGGCATACCAGTGCTAGGTGTGCCTGCTCCTGAATCCTGTGGGCTGAGGTAGGCAACGTGTCTACAGTTTCATAAAGCACACTCTGTGAGTCGCCCTTCTCAGCGCCCCCATCACCTCCTTGTTTCTCAGGCTATAGATGATGGGGTTGAGCATTGGGGTAAGGATTGTGTAGAAGACAGCCAAAATCTTGTCCTCTGCTGGGGATCGGAGGGATCTTGGGCGTAAATAGGTGTAAGCAAAGGGTACATAGTAGAAGGTCACCACAGTGAGGTGAGTGCTACAGGTAGAACAGGCCTTCTTCTTCCCTGCCCCAGAATGCATACGGTAGACAGCAAGAAAAACCCGACCGTAGGAGCACACTATAGCAGTGAATGGAAACACAAGAAAGAGGACGGTGCTCACAAAGACTGTGTACTCATAGAACCAGGTGTCCATGCAGGCCAGAGTCAACATGGCAGGCACGTCACAGAAGAAATGGTTGATGGCTCTGGATTGGCAATAAGGGATATGGAGTGCATATCCAGTGTGAGCACAGGAGTTAATGGAGCCCAGCATCCAAGATCCTATTATCATCAGCACACAGACTCTTTTGTTCATACGTATGGGATAGTGGAGAGGAAAACAAATAGCCACATAACGATCATAGGCCATAGAAGCCAGCAACAGTGTTTCTGCTCCTCCAAAGGTCAAGAAGAGGAAGATCTGAAGCCCACACCCAATGAAGGAGATGTACTTACTACCCAACATGAAATCAGAAGCCATTTTGGGGACAATGGTGGAGATGTAATTTAAATCAATGAGCGAAAGCTGACTGAGTAAAAAATACATGGGAGTGTGAAGCTGGGTATCCAGGAGGATGAGGAGGATCATGGACAGGTTGGCAATCCAAGCTGTCAGGAAGATGAGAATAACAAGAATGAAGAGGAACAGGCCAGTTCTTGATGATGGGAACAGCCCCAATAAGATAAAGCCTGTATATGTTTGATTATAATTATCCATCAGGTGTTCATGTAGATTTTCCTAGAAGCACACGCAGCAATGTTACATATGAAACAATGAGATAATTTAATTCATTATTTTCATCAGACAGGGACATACTCATACCTCTGAAGCAAAGCATACTGTACTTTGAAAATCGATCCTTCATGTCCTCTTCATATATAAATCTGAAGGACACAAACATAAATGGACATGGATAAAATACCTTACAGAAATGTGCGAACCTATAAAAATAGTATATTTCCATGATGATTATATTAGAATATGGATATTTTAGTTCTTAACAATGAGAAATGTCATAACATGAGACCTGATGCTATATGTGTAGAAATTAATGTAAATATTTAAAATATAGGTCTACAGTTTGATACATTTTTGTTCCAAATCACAATGACTTTTACTGTACTTCAGTCCTAAAACACATACAGTGTGAATCACTCAGAAACTCTTATGTATACTTTTATATTAATATACCAGTTTTTTCTTTTTGTCATTATTTGTTATTTCTTCAAAAGACTGTAAAAATGCTTATTGACAAGTGTCAATTACACAGTCTTTCTCTTTTCCATCTTCACATTCAAAACAGTGTAAATAGACCCTCTTTGTGGACATCTGTATACATTCATTCCATAAAGGGGGCCTATATTTTGTCTTCCCCTTCTCAAAAGCTTACACAGCATTTTGCTTTACTTCCCAACACCACTTTTTACTCATTCTTTATTTCCTTTCTTTTTATCTAGAACCATATTTTTTATTTCAATATGTGTGTGAATTTAAGCACATGAATTTACATTTTTTTCCTTTGAGAATTAATTGAAATGATGAAAAATAAATGTTATACATTAAAAAGCATGTGAACTACTGAGCAGAGGAACAAGTAGGAATGAGAACTCATGACCTTGCAGGGGAGATTCACTGAATGAGAACTCAGGGCCTTCAGAGGAGATTCAATGATGGGGTGGAGTCAGGTTCTTAGACGCTGGAAAGGAAAAGCATCCTCAGTCTTCAGAGTGAGAATGAACTGGGAGAGTTTCCTCCAAAGAATGCTATCAGTAGAAGGCTCAGCATGCTGGACCCAGAAAAGGGTGATGTTTCTCAATACTAGAGTCAAAGGGCACCAGCAAAGAAATCTGCACATGAAACAGGCAGGTATAGCACTTAAGGATAAGCAAATCACACACACACACAAACAAACACAGAATGAGTTAGAAATTATCAGTTTGAAAAATGCAGGAGATTTTTATCAGAAAAATTAGCAACTACTAAAACTAAAATTATAATATTTGATAAAATACTGTCAACAGAATATTCAAAATGAATTGGAAGGCACTTGAAAATACAACATAATAAAAGCTTTTAAGTTAATATACAGGCTGGTGAGAGGCTCAGCAATTAAGAACACTAGCTGCTCTTGCAGAGGACCTATGTTTGATTCCCAGCACCCACAAGATGCCTAACTGTCCATGACTCCATTTCCAGGAGATCCAATAACCATTTCTGACCTCCACGGGCACTGCACAACACAGGTGTACTTGCATACACGTGAGCAATACAATCATACACATTAAATAAAAGTAATAAATAAAATATAAATGTATTTATTTTCCCCTATTGTTAATTGAGTTTTATACAACAATTCACAGATAAAAATATATTATAAATGAAACATGTAAATAAATAAAATTAAATAGGAAATATAATTAGGGATCTAAGGTTAGATATTTATGCATTCTTATAAGACTTCCTAAAAAGCATATGGCAAAATAATTAACGAGTTAGTGTTACCAAATGAAAATAGTTTCTCAGAACTGAAACATCATGTATATTATGTAGAAAAGTAATTTCTTGAAAAGTAAC